CGTATGTGCTTATGTCTGTGTACGTGGTTGTCTGCCCCTGCACACGTGGGGTCCTCGAGGGCTTACATTCTATCGGGGCTCCTCCAGGGACCGTTTAGTATTTATCTTTGTATCTTCAGAGCCTGGCACACGGTAGGTGCTTAATTAGTGTCTGTGGACCGATAGCTAGCCCTTTAGAAATGGAAAAGCAGCTCATAAGCATTTTTATCATTGCTTTTAAAGAGTGTTAGCAGGCAGCACCGACCTCCCCCCTCAAAGTCATCCCAGTTCCAGAAATGGCCCAGAACTTGGGGTGCCCCCAGGGGTACAGGGAGTGATGTGGACAGACTTCTCAGTTTTCACAAAACATCCACAGCAGACTGCTCCTTGGATGCCTTGGCACTGTGATGGCGATGTCAGCCCCAGTTTTTTAAAAAAAACTGTTGTTATATAAATATTTGTCCGTTTTCCTAAGAGCACATTCTGCACAACGGGGCTTGACAGTGTAAGGGCAAAGGGAAGCTGGTGGGGCCAGCCAGCAGAGAACGTTCTTCCTGGCCTGGCCTGGAGGCCAGCAGAGGGTCAGGCTCCACTGGTCGGCCCATGCCCAGCCTGGTGGTCTGCTTTGCTGGCTCGGGTGGGGCTGGCCCCACAGCCGTCCCCTCCAGCTGGAGGAAGGGCTGCACGAGGCCTCTTGAGTTGGTCAGAGGCACTAGTGAACTTGGGAAGGGGTCCCAAGGCCACTTCTGAACCACAGGGACTCAGACAGACAGACAGACAAAAAGCAAAGCATAGCACAAGAGCCTAGCCAGCAAGCCCAGGAAACAGCTGGGAAAGAGCAGCACCCGGGTTCAGACCCTGCCTCTGCTTCTTGCCCCCTGCGTGGTCTTGGGGATGAGTTTCTTGAGGCTGGAGACCATGTTTTTGCGCTTCTGTCTTGCCCGGCACAGATGCTTGCTGAGTCACAACCTTCCTCTCATAGGCCTCAGTCGAATGAAGGGGTTGGGTCCGCTGATTTCTCCAAATTCTACCATCAGCTTGGAGCCCGCAGCTGTGACTTGGAGCTCACAGCTGCGGTCGCCATATTTGTTCCCGGGTCACAGGGCTTGAGAGAGCCCACAGAGGGGTCGATGGAGAGGGGTGTGTGATGGAGACACTGTCACAGCCCATAAATCCTCTGGGGAAGACCCAAGGAGGTGGCGGGGTGGGGCAGGGAAGGATTCCAAATGCTGTCAGATTCTCTACATGTTGGTGTTCTGGGACCAGCCCCGATTGCCCTGCCTTCTCTTGACTCTCCTGCTGACCGCTTACTATTTGGGCTGTTGTAAGGGAGAGTTGGGTTAGCCATCTGGAGTCAGAAGGAGAGAAGGGGGGATGTAGAGAGGGTGAGCTGGGTCTGGAAGTGGAGAGAAGGCTGCCAGGCTTTGCCAGGCGGACGAGGCCTTCCGACTCTGCCCTCTCCGAGGCTGATCCCTTTCTCTGGCTCTCTCTCCCGTTCCTCCCCCTCCTCCACCCCCAGGCCCAGCCCTCCTGTCTCTGCTCCCCTCTTTGGTTTCCCACTTCTGCTTCTCCCCTGGCTCTCAGGCCTTGCTCCCTGCCGGGGAACCTGACCCAGGTCCGTCGCGTGAGGGCTCAGCTTGGGTTTCCTCGAGCCTGGAATGCAGAGCCGGCACAAGGCGTCTGCAGAAGGCCCTTGCCTGAGAGGAGCATCCGCACGGTTTTTCCTTCCTCAAACAGTGAGTAAGCTGCTTACTGTTCATGGGAGGCTTGGAGCTGTCCTTGTCACACATGTGATTTGACTTATCACAAAATAAATATGTCTGTGACATGGAGAGAGGAATTTTCTGGCATTAAAATCTGGACTTTGAGGAGTCCTATTTTTAAAATGTCCCTTGCTGTGCACCCCTCCCCCTCCCCTCCCCCTCCTCCTCCACAGGCTGGGAGGGCCCGAGGCAGGAGCTCACCTTGCCTAGGCCTGGTCCCAGCTCTGCTGGCCCATGTCCAGAGGCTAATCAGCCCCGGCACAGAGACTAGGGGGAAGGGCCCTGGCCCTCTCCTCCAGTGCTCTGCTGGCCGGCTTTTCCAGGTACATGAAAACATCATTTCTTCCCTTGAAAGAGAATCCAGCCCTTCTCCCACTCCCCTCCCCTCAGCCGGAATGAATGCAGGTACCTGGTGCCCACCCAGCCCCTTTGGGAATATTAAAAACATCAATACTTCTTTTGAAATAGAATTTAAGTTTCTCTCCCTCCCCAACCCCCAGCCTGGATAAAGGCAGGGAACTGGTGCCCACCCAGCTCCTCTGAGCAGTGAGGCAGAGGATGGGGGTGGGGGGAGTGGGGAGGCATGACCCAAGCTCTCCTGAAAGCTGCTGCCGCGTGAGGTCCCAGGAATGTGTGTGTGTGTGTGTATGGCTGGCATACGGCTCACACGCATGTGAGCAAGTGTGTGTGAGAGTGATTGTGGACATGTGTGATTGCATATAAACACAGGGTTATGCATGAGCGTGTGTGTGTGTGTAAGAATGTGTGCACCTGTGTAAGAGGGTGTGAGTGTGCCTGGATGTAAATGTGAGCATGCGTGCACATGTGTACGTGTGTGACTGAGTGTGTGCATGTGTGTAAGTGCGTGTGAGTGGGAGCGTGTGTGTAAGAGAGTGGTAGGTGCTTCTGTGTGTCAGTGTTTGCAAGCACGGGTGCTTGGCTGGCAGGGAGCTTATGGGAAGGACCCCACCCCCGCCTCCGGCACAGCCCAGAGGCGGGCTCTCTGGCCTCACCCACTTGGCCAGCCTGGCCTCCAGCAGTGGAGGCTTCCCCGGGGGGCTGTCACCCAACTAACCCAGAGGAAGCTCCCGTCAGTGGGGCAATGCTCTGCAGTCTGAGCAAGACGTCTGATCAGTCATGGGAGTGTGTGTGTGTGTGTGTGTGAGTGTGCGTGTGTATGCGCACGTGTATGACTGTGTATGAGTGAGTGTGAGTGTGTATAGACGTGTAAGGGGATGCGTGTGAGGGGGCTGTCTACTGTGACCTGAGAACCCCGCATTTTACACTTGGAGAAACTGAGGCCCAGAGAGGGGAAGCATATGAAGGGCTCACTCGGGGCTGGGATGCCCCTGTCAGGGAGCTTCCGTTCTACCTTGGGGGTTGGGTTCGAACCCAGTCAGGCCCCTCCTCTCCAGCTGCACACAGAACAAAGATCGATCGTGAATCGTCCACTGTTGTTCAACATGGGTTCCGTCTGTGTGCCCAGGGAGGAGCGGGGCCAAAAGTGAGCCTTGGGCTTGCAGGGAGCCAGACACACCTGGGCTGGATCCTGGCCAAGTCGCTGCCCAAATCTTAGCCTCCGCGCTTATGAAGTGCTTGCTGTTTGCCAAGGGCTCTGCTAAGGGCTGAAAGCCCAAGCCTGTCCCCTCAGCCCCAACCCCCCAGGGCTGTGAGTGTCACATGACTTAATGTGTGGAAAGCAAACCATGAAGGACTCTGGGAATGCTCGCTATCATGCCTGTCCTCATCCCAGCTGGAAGCAACCTTGGAAGCCACTCTCATTTTATAGACGAGGAGAATCAGAATAGGGGAATGACTTGTCCAAGGTCACATGGGTGATAAGTGTCAGAGATGAGGTTAGAACCCAGGTGCTCTTAGCACAGTGCCTGGCACACAGTAGGCACTCAATAAATGTTGATCGACTGGGACTGACAGTTCATATTATCACCATTTTAGCAGCGTTACAGTGCTGCATGGAGACTGTGCGGGGACAGTGGAAAGCATGCTAGCTCTGGGGTTAGAAGAGCTGAGTTCAAATCCTGCTCTGCCGCTCACTACCTGTGTGACCTTGGATGAGTCACTTGATGTCTCTGGGCCTCACTTTCCTCATCTGTAGAATGGAGTGGCTGGGCCAGATGGCCTTGGAGGCCCTTTTAGTCTCAGACCTGGTGACTTCTATTTCTACAGAATACTGCCTTTCTATCCCTCTGAGGGGATGGTGGCTGTGGCTGGAATCACCCGGAAAGGGGCCTCCCCTCCATGAGCCTGGGACAGCGGCACCCTTGGACCTCCCAGCCAGGAGCAGATGGTTTCCTGGGGGGCCAGGATTTGTTTGCCTCTCATTGAACCTTCAGAATCCCAACGGCCCCTCCATCCACAGACAAGGACCTCATCTGCAGAGGGTCAGGGAGCCTGGGTTCCACAAATGCTCTGGATGGGGGGGGCGGGTCAGTGCAGAGCTCAGCTGACCCCTTGGTCTGGGGCTATGAAAGGAGGCTTGGCATGGGGCGCTGACAGGCCGGGAGGCCAAGGGCGGCCAGTCTCCTTCACAGTCTATCCTCCAACCCACCTCTTCTACCTTCTTCCACATTACCCCCTTCCATGTTCTCCGTGATGCAAAGAAACCAGATGACTGGCCATTCCCTGGTGGATCGACGCACATTTAGGCATCAGCACGAGCCGGCTTCCAGGCCTGGGCACTCACTCTCTCCTCTCTGCCTTGAGGTCTGGCTCACCTCTGCACTCCTCCCCTGTCCAGATCCCCTGAGCTTCAAGCGTCCGATGCATTCTTTGGCTCTCCTTCTGGGGCCAATGTTTTCCCCACTCTGCCACCCTGGGCTATCCTTAGTACACATTCTCATAGACAGCTGTTGAGCTGGAAGACAGCTCAGAGACCACCCAAGGGAACTGAGCCTGAGAAGTTGTGTGACTCGTCCAAGGTCACACAAATGCTGGGCCAGGGACCAGAACCCAGGTTTTCTGGGTCTGAATCCACGAGTCTTTTCATTGGGCCTCTCGGACTCTCACCTTCATCAATCCCTGTCTTGGTGGAACACTCATCTGTTGTGTTCACGCTTCACGTCCCCTCCCTCCCAGTAAACATAATCTTCTTGGGGGCAGGGGATGTTTTGCTTGGGTTTTCATCCCCTCCCTCAGCACTCGGCATTGCATACAGCAGGCACTTAATCTATGTACACCAGATTGAATTGATAGAAGGAAATGCCACCCAGAAGTACAGCTGAGAGCTTCTAGCCTTACCCTCTCTCTTTGCGTATCTCGGATGTTCTGCTGAAGGTCCCGCAAGGCTTCCCGAACAACTCCAACATCGATCTCTGTGGGGCTGAAGCCTCCTCGTGAGGGAGAGGGCCACCTGAGTGGCGAATGGGCCTGGCTCCTCTCTGGGGATCCAGGCCGAGAGGCTGGAGTCTGTTGTCCATCTGCCACTGAGGAGCTCTCGAACCCTGCAAAGGGGTCGTAGATCATAGATTAGAGCAAGATGGTGCCCGACTGGTTACCCCTGCTTTCAGGTGAGAAACCAAGGGAACCCAGAGGTTAAATTTACCCAAGGCCACACAGATAATGTGTCTTTCTGCCAAGCCAGAAAGTCTTTAGAGATGGTTCTGGGGACTGACCAAAGTCTGTTGTCTAAGGGCCAGCCCAGCTAAGGATCACCACCAAGTTGGTCATAGGGGATGAATTTTTGGCCACATCAGTCCCCAAAGACCATCTGTGAAACCGTAAGTGGGAGGGGGGCAGCCTGGGGAAGACCCAAATCCGAGGTCCTTGAGGGACTAGCTTTAAATCAGCCTGCCCCTCTCCCCAGACCATTGGTGCTGACCTTTGGCTGGGGAGGGGGCTCTTCCCGGTGGGGGGCAGAGGCCCAGTCCCCGGCGCAGTGCTGAATGCAGCCGACTCAGCGCGGCCTCGGTTTCTCTCCTGGCATGTTCAACCTGCTCCAGCTCCCGTTCCAGGCTGTGGATGTGATCGTTGGCTGTGCTCAGGCGCATCTGGGAGCTCTTGGCCTCTCCGCAAACCTGCTTCAGCTTCATCTCCAGGTTACGGAGCTCATCGCTGAGTTTCTGCTCATTCCCACGGCATTCCTGTAGGCTCTCCATCAGCTCCTTCTCCCGGACCTGGATTCCTGACTCTGTATCTGCCAGTTTTCTTTGCAGGCTGAGGATCTAGAGGAAGCAATCATGGGCACCAGAAAACAGCTGCGCCTACATTTGCTAGAAACCAAGATATTGCACAAAAAGGGGAAAATGGCGCCCAGCATGGGGAGGCCATCCCAGCTTTTCTGTCCCTGCCTCGGAAGGAGGTGGAGTGCCTCTTTGGGGTTTGGATCATTTAGTCACTCAACCAAGCAACCAAGCAGAACCGGACTTGCATAAGGATGTAAGGCACTTTCTGTGGTCTTGACCTCCTTCTAGCTACATCAGGTCCATCCATACCCACTTCCTACTCTTAGAGAAGATAGCACCAGCACACACACAACTCACAGGGCCTGATGTAGAGCATCCGTTTGGCGAGAGGAGCATAGCTCATACTATGATCCAGGAGCAGAAACATAAAGCCATGCCAGGTGAAGCTGGAGCTCATGGGCTCAGCAGATCCTAAGAAGCTTATAGGAGTTCCCATAAATTATTTAAAGCCCCGAGGTGTTGGCACCAAGTAGGTGAGAGGAAGGCGTGGTATTGCGCCAAGTGCCAGTTTGGCTCTTGTGACTTCTTCACCCCAAACCATGCTGTTATGGTTTCCACAGGCTAGTCATGATACAGTGGAGACGCTTTCCCCCAAAGACCCTTCCTTCAAATGACTCAAGGCTGTGGCTTCAGCAGGTAGGACTGGTGGACAGTTTCCATCAGCGTCAGAGCATACTCATTGTATAGCGGTACCCGGATCCTGTCCTTGGGCCGGCAATTCTGCTGGTCTATTAGGTGCTGGGCATCTCCTGGCCCCTTCTGTGAACCCAGGATCTATCTCCCTGACCACAGACTTCCCTTGCCCTAACACTTGTACATCAGATATGAATACAGATTCAACGAGAGTAGTTTGGGGTTGAAATGTGGTTGTCACAAGGGCTTGAGTGGATAGCTAACAAGGGGAGGGTGGGTTATCAGAGTTGGTAGGCCAGAGGGCTCATCACCTGAGTAACTGGGAGAACATTATCGTTCTGTCTGGGGACGACAGCCAGAACTGGTCTCTGCACAAGGGCTCTGCTAACATGTGTAATGCAAGCCTTTTTCCTGTTTGTCTCATGTTTTGATTGCTCAGAAGGTGTGTAGCAAGTGGCTCCGGGCAGCCTCTAATTCGCCCACCTCGGTGACTGAGAGGACTGAGGGCACAGGGTTAATAATGAGAGCACAGGATAAGTTAAGAGGAAAATCAGAATTGGAAAGGGCCATCTGTGAAATAGGGCATTTGGGTCATGATGTTGGGATAACAGAATTCCATAGTGGGCAGTAGAGTGACCCAATCATCCTGAAGGTAGGAAGGGTAGTAACTCTGATATTCCTTGAGGGTTTGGTCTGTGGGCTGTGACTGCCTCTTAGAAGTCTAAGGGTGACATGCCGTGGAAAGGTGAGACTTAGCCTGGGGGGCCACGGATGGTGCACAAATGAGAGATCAGTTGGGAGTTCTTATCAGAGGTGGTGAGAGAGCACACCACAGAACTGGAAAACGGAGTCGTTTCAGGGGAGATAGGAGGACCAGTACAGGGATGGGAATGAGGCCAAAGTGCCCTGGTACCCCAGGTATGGGATGGAGGCAAGTCTGGCATCAGCTCCAGCACCGCTATCACCCAAGAATGGTGGGCAGTCACCAGGGGCTGCAATGAGCCTGCTGATTTCCCCACCAGATGTTTGTCCCAGGCTCCTCCCTCACAGGTCTGGACAGACAAGAAAAAGTCTACCAAAAGTTCTGGTGACTGTGTGTCTGAAAGGTTAGGCATTGAATGCCTTCCACAATCTGGCTCACACCCACTTATCCAGAATTATCTAACTTACCCCCCTTCATGAACGCTATACATTCTAGCCACTGGCTCTTCTTTGACCTCCATGTGCCATCTTTTCTCTGTCCCCCATATCTGGAATACACTCCCTCCGTGCCTTTGATTCCCAGAATCCCTCATCTCCTTCAAGGCTCAGCTCAGGGGACATCTCCTAAGTGAAGTCTTTCTCAAGCCATATGATTATTTGGGATCTTTCCCCAATTCAATTAAATCTAGCATTACAATTATGCATTATCATATCTTTCAATAACAACATATATTATACACACATACATACATACATATATGTAACACACTATACCTATACAAATATACATACATATATACATACACACACACACACACGCACATAGACACACTCTCATATAATACTCTTCTGGGAGATTGGATCTCAGAATACCAACCATGAAACGGTCTGTTGAACTGCTCAATCAGCATTTTGCATTTGCTAGTAGCTCTATACTGTCTGAACAACTCCCTCAAGGTCACTATTTCCTGGGAAGCCAGCCTGGAGGCAGACATTTGGGCCTGGGTTACAAGGTCCCTGGTACTTGCTACCTATAGATCACATCTAGGAAGACTGAGATTGATTGGTTACCAGGGTTAGGGTTGGTAGGATGACCTGTCAGGTGGCTGCCATAATCTGGCCTTAGTGGGATGTGTCTGCCCACTGTCATAGAACAGAGGTGATGGGGGTGGGGGTTGAACCTGCTGAGAAATGATGCCCAGTTGATCTGGTGTTGGTTAAACTTCTTGGTCATTTGAGGGTTCTTGAGGTGCCTTTGGTCAGGGTGAATAATGATCAGATGCTAGAGTCCCTCAAAACAGCCACTCCTACTTTCTGAAGCAAGTAGGAGCTTGTAGAGTTGTGTGAGTTAAAAAGGAGAAAAACTTTCCGGCTTGCTTCCTTCAACTCCTCTTTGTTTCAAAGGCCACTTTTACTGGGAACAGCATCTTCTCCCACGGTTTGTAGTTTCTTTCTATTATGGTTGATTCCATAGAGAAGTAGATGCAGAAGCAGGGCTGGGGGAGGATGGTATATAGATGGGGAAACAATGGCGCCAGTGACAATGTGAGATGTGTTAGATTCTATGAAGAATAGTTATAAGACTCTGGGTCGCTGTAGATGGGTAAACCCAGTTCACCCTGGAGTGTAAAAGCCATTTTTTTTTTAGTAATTTAGAGAATGAATCTCCAGTCCTAAGGGTGTTTCTTCTCTCTCCAGGCCGCATGGAGGGTCCCCATGTAGGTGCTCAAGAATGTTGACTTTCTCCTCTCAGCATCTTTCTTGACTCTGATTCACTATCTCAGTCTCTCAGTGATGTCCTCTTTCTCATCAGACTTCCCTTAAAAGGCCAAGTCCAGGGGCACAGCTCACTTGTAGTATGACTCATAAATCATCTTCAAATGTAGTGTTAAAGGGCATGTGAGTACCGATGACAAGGAGACTTCACCACTCATGCCAGATCAAAGTCAAGTTAACTTTCCTATCTATCTATCTATCTATCTATCTGTCTATCTATCTATCTATCTATCTATCTATCTATCTATCTATCTATCTATCTAT